TTAGTAATTGCTTGAGTCTATTTAATTCGTTGAACCATAGTCTCTTGGGATCCGACTCTTGCTTGCCCGTCTACATAGTAGTGGTCTAGTTATAGAACACTTATCATGTTCCTCATGCCCAATTACATTCATCTTAAAAAAAACAAAACCTCTTATATTTATGGGCATAAGAAAACGTTGATTATGTATAGTTTCTCACAATGTCATGTTTAATTACTTGAACTCATAACACACTTTTTTCTATATATTTAATTAATTAAGGAACTTCAAGTCCATATGTACGAGAATATATACCAATCCATCTACATTTTTCAGAAAGAGAAGGTAAAAATAAGACATGACATAATCAGTTCGAGCTTTAATCAAACATACCTTATTCGATCCACTCAACTATACTAGCCAAATTAAAATTAATCTTTGGAAACATAAGTAAACATGACATTGTGTTTATAGAATCACGTTAGTATGTAGTGGATATCTAAGCATCATGCTTTAGCTTTGTAGATCATGCACATTTCTTTTATGTTCAAGCTAGGAACTTTAAGTCTATGTGTGTGAATACTCTTTATAAATATAAGGAACTTTAGGTCCGCACATCATATTCAATTTACATTCATTCCAATAATCTAACTTCAAGTAGGTACATAATACTATAAATGGGAAGGTAAAAAATATGAAAACCTACTACTTCACGCTTTAATAAAAACATACCTGAATCGATTGAATCAACTATACTGTCGGATCAATTATATCAATATATTGCCTGATAAAGCTTAATTAGAAAATAGAAACAAGCACATAAGCAACCAAAATTAACACGTTCACGTTAGTAGAAAACCACGTGTTTCATATCATACTTGAAATATAAAAACATAATTCAATACATAAATTATAAATAGTTTCACATGTACCTTAGGCTTACTTCGTACAATTTATAAACATTCAAGGCATTAGACATAAGATTTCACAAACAAATTATATGGGTAAATAATTGCTAAATCAAACCATTCATATTTGCTATCAAGCATAGAGAAATAACCAAACTCATTTACGGATAGGAAAAGTAATACCAAAATCTAGCAAATATATGTAATACAATTTTATGAAAACCATACTTTCATAAAATTAACCCCAATAATAATTCTAAATACCCTTTTATATTCAAACTAAACAAAACTCATAGTCAAAACAAAACTACTAATTAGTTATTCTGCATCAAATTCAACTATTACCAAATTGCTCATTGAATCCAAGAATAATAAAAATACAAAAAATTGGGAAATAATATAAACATATTATGTAAAGGTTTAAAATTAACAATAACAGGATAGTTGAGAATGAACTTTCCTGATATCAAAACCTTTCCCACCATAAAACCAGCCTTATCGTCAAATTCATGTTGTCAGCGTCATCTGCTAGCCTATAACTCGTGAAAACGTCAATGAAAAGAAAATAAAGTATAGCCCTTGATTAAGACTAATCTATTATATTATGGATATATGAGAAAGATGATTCAAGATAAACAAACCAATGCAACCAAAAAAATAATACGAGCAGTTCTTTGTAATTAAATAAAGCGGCACTACCATTAACATTCCAAATTATTAATACCATGAAACTCCTTGTACTAGACCCAAATTAATTAATGAGGATTGGGAATGATATGACATTCTTGAAACGTGTGCGTGTGATTTCATTATTAAATGATCAAAACCCATGATGAATATTAATCTCCTTCTAATTTCTTCCCAAGATGCGACACAACAAGATAATAATGAGCATAATTTAGCATATTCAGTATACAACGAATTAATCATTAACCTAAGAAATCAACAATAAAATTTACATATTGATTAGAGCTTTGGTGCTGATAACGTGTTATAAAATAGAGAGAAATATAAGAGAGATTGATAGAGAATATATCAGTATATTTCTATTCCATATAATGGGGTATATATAAATACAATATATAAGGGTTTGAATGGATAAGAATATAAACCCTAGATCTAGATTGTTCTGGAATGATACAAAGGAGGATAATGGATATCCACAAATTTTTCATAACAATGAGTACTTTGTAATTTTTTAACTGCTTAAAAATTGTTGTTGTATACTTGTACAAGTGTAGTTTTTTTTTGTTTTTACATGGCCTTTTTGCATTTATTTTTAATTTTATTAATTATTTCATGCTATTAATTAGTTGTAATTAGATATAATACAGTTATTCAATTTTATAGATTGGATTAACAAATAGAGAGTATAAGGCCATGTTTACTTCACCTTAAAAAATAATATTAAGTAAAAATAATTTTAGCTCAGTAAAATAAGTTCAGTTTAGTAAAATTAATTTCATTTCAGTAAAAATATTTTCAGTTCAGTAAAATAAGTTCAGTTCAGTAAAATTCAGTTTTCTTAAAAAAGAATTATAATAGAAAATCAGTTAAATAATTTCAGTTTAGCAAAAATAATTTTATTTTAGTAAAATTATTTTAATTTCAGTAAAAATAATTTAAATTCAGCAAATATAATTTTATTTTATTAAAAATAATTTCAATTCAGCAAAAATAAGATGAAGTGAACGGGGCCTAAATCGATTTTTATCACTCGCTGTTGTAGCTTTGCTATCCAAAAACCAAAAAAAGGAAAAATAGATACACTGAGCGAGCGATTAAATGGACTTACCGACCTTAAATTTGGTTAGCTATCCTAAATGCCTCTTCGAGTATGCGAAAGTCCACGTTGATTTGCATTTCCATTTCCACTTTTATGAAAAATGCACATACGTTTGCTAAAGTGGCAAACGACCATGTCCAAAAATAATTAGCAAACGACAGCCCATTTTCTCAATAAATATATCTATGAATAAAAATATAAAGAAGCCAATAATCGCATTAAATTATCATTAATTAGCATATTATTGCATAAATAATTTGTCTTAGATACGACGTACAAACAATAATTTAATAGAGGCATAATTATTTATATGAACGATTATCATATGAGCCATATGTTTTGTGAGAATACATACATATGTCATACTTATGCAACGAATTACTAATTAGCATAAATAATTTATCTTAGTATGTTGCAGATCGTTTTGCTGAGAAATCTTAAGACATGAGTTTGATTTTAAGTCCTTGCTCTGGTCTCTGGAGTATGTGATAAGTGACGTTTGACTATATGATAAATAAGTGATATTTGACTTATTTAATAATAATAATTATTTTTAACCTTAATGTCAAAAAATCTAGCACATTATTTCAAATAAAATTTTAACTTAAACATCATAAAAACAAAAGCATTAATAAAGCGTTCACAAGGTGGATGTCAATTAGTTTAAATGGTTTCATTGCATATCGAACTTTCTTTGTGTAGTGCCCATTTTCATTTCATTGCTGATGCACTCATGCAGACATATAGTTGTAAAAACATTAACCACCTGAATACGTAATAAGATAAAAAATGATTGAGCTTAACAACGAGGCCTAAATTGGAAGAACAATATATTTCTCCGTTTACCTTATGTTACAAACACTCTTCCTCATACGTACAAATGAGGAAAAAATCAAACTATAAAAAATCCCAAATTTGCATCCATGATTCAATTTACAGATAGGCTAAGATCCTTTATTTCATTGTCAAAAAACAGCTCTATTTTGGCAACTTTATAGTAACTCAGTACTTCAGTAGTCAATACCAAAGGAAGCTAAACAACCTTAACTTTTTTGCTCTTTCAATTTCCAAATCACCAATTTAAAAAAGACAAGAAAAAACAAGTGAAATAGCAAGTTGAACAACAATTGGGAGATGGGGTACTTTAGCTTTCCAATTTCCAATACCTAAACGCATTCAAGAAAACACCACAAACGAAAATGCATGAAAAGCCCCCATTTTTGGCACCTTATATACCTACCTTTGTTGTTGAAAATTACTCCTTTTGAGATAAAATTGTTTCTAATTCCCAAATAAGCAAATTCTTGTATAAAACCATTTTTATTGAATTATTATTGTTATATGATCGAAATAACTTGTTACTCCTATTTCTTAGTGCTATTCTTTGTTGAAATGTTACAACTATTTATGATTTAAGTGAATATACTTCCTCTTTTTTTAATACTTACAATACTTCTGTAAAGTGAAAATGTCATAATATTTACAACACACTATAATTGAAAAGTTATTTTGAGAAAATTAAAGTATTGTATTTCCCTTATTTATTGTATATGACCCACTAAGGGTATGTTCTCATACGTTGAAATTCAGTTCAGTTCAGCTCCTAATTTCCTTCTCTTATCAAATATTCAGTTCAGTTCAGTTCAGTTCAGCTGAGTTCAGTCAATGAGGACAGGTCCTAAATTATAGTACTTCTAACAACCTCTCACCCCATTTTAAAGTATTTTAAATCTTGTAAACCACCACTTTTCTTAAATTCAAGCAGAAAAAATATGTATTGCAATTACTAAAAACGAGAGAAAATATATTATAAAACAACTTCAAATATACTATCAGCCAAGATGAAATTATAATCATATCATTTGATGAGGCCTAGTTTGATGTGTTTATTAATAAATGTTTTACAACTATTATTACTATTATTATTATTATTATTATTATTATTATTATTATTTACTCATTGACTTTTTAAGTTTTTCCACCTCAAAAAACATTTATATATTATATTATTATTCGCATAATATGCAAATAGATTATATTAGCATTAGATGCTCCAATCATACAAGCTAGATTGCTGTAGGAGAACATCAAAGCAAAAAAAACAGTGTTCCTTTTGTCGTAACTTTCGATTATTATTGGATAAATCAATTTTAATCAAAAACATGCACACGCATATTCATTTCTTTGCTTTCCAATTTCAAACAAACTAACACAATTTTATTTTTCTTTTTTAAAACTTTTATTTGTGTGCTTACGTATGCGCGCGCATCGCTCTATGTGCACGAACATAGTCGATTTTTTGCCTATATAAGCATCTCCCTCTTAGTCCATGCTTCTCCATTATCAATTACCATTCACAAAAAACACAACACGCCCCTGAAACACATTATATATCCTCGAGTTTTCATTTCATATCATATCATATCATATTATATTTCGAAGTTGTTATATATAGTTACAATGCATCCAAGTGAGATGATAGGAATAAACTACCTAACATCCACTCCAGAAATACAATTTCCATACCAATTTTCTCCCAACTTAACCTTATTACAACAAAACATAATTACCACTAATAATGATCTTATTAGTGGATCGTCTTATAACACTTTTCCAATCACTCAATCATCCTCCCCTGTGTACATGAGTAGCAACTCGACATCAGATGAATCAGACGAAATTCAACAGACGAATAAGATCATCGATGAGAGGAGGCAAAGGCGGATGATATCGAACAGAGAATCTGCTCGTAGGTCTCGAATGAGGAAGCAAAGACACTTAGATGAACTTTGGTCACAGGTGATTCGACTTCGAAATGAAAATAGTAATCTTATTGATAAGTTGAACCATGTAACAGAAAGTCATGATAAAATTTTACAAGAAAATGTTAGGCTTAAAGAAGAAGCTACTGATCTTCGACAAATGATTAGTAGCATGCAATTAGCTACTACTTTTAATGGGTTAAGAGATTTGGAAGATGTTCCTTGTAATACTGCTCATCTTAGAGCTGAATCTTCCAACCAATCATCTATAATTAGTTCTAATGATTTACTTTTGTAAGATAATTATCTTTACTTTATATTATAAGAGTTTTAGCTTTATGGGTGTAACATAACTTGGCCTTTTTCTTTTTTTGGATTAACTTCTAGTCCTTGAATTCCTGCAATAAATTAAACAATTTTCCAGCTCGTACATGTACGTTACTCCCTCTGTCCGTAATTATTAATTCATGTATGGATAATGTATCACGTTATATCATTATAAGTAATCGAAATTTGAAATAGTAAGGTGGTAATTATTAGCTTTATCCCATAATGTTTATAACATATTTTATTTTCATCTGCTTCATAATGTTTTTAACATACTATGGGTCTCTTCTCTTCAACTTAATTTAGTTCGGTTCAGTTCAGTTTACTTTAGCTTTAATCAGTTCAGTTTAGTTCCTAATTTTTTTCTCTTATTAACAATTCAGTTCAATTCAACTCAATTTAATAAATCAGATCAACCCCTATGTATGTAATTTACTGCTCAACTCTCTTACATTACAGTCTTACCCAACTCTAGCTCTCTTTTATACATATATTATATTATAACAACGAACTGAAAACCTTCTTACACTTTCTCTACTACTTTATCTACTTTTTCTTACATCCTCTTATCTTTTGTTACATTCTCTTCCCTCTTTTTTATTTTTGTACAAACAGTAAATGTTAAATGTTGAGAACACTATGAAACTAGTGTCTAGTTTAATCAAATGCGAGCTCTATCGATATGGAAGTTTAGCATGTAAATTTGGTCCAATAGTCGGACAACAAATATTGCTTACGTAAATTCACCATTTAATTTTTTATTACTACTGTATCAGTTTAAACTAATACCTTAACTTTAACAAATAAATATTCTATTAAGAATGATAACTATGTTATCCTGAGGCTAATCCAGTATTAGTGTTTTACCCTACGCCGCGTAATTATATATTGGTGGCAGGCAAAGGAATACGGCCTACAATTCTTTTCATCTAGAATTTTTATTTTCATTTGGTTTTTTTATGATAAGTATAAGACTATATTTTAAGCATTATAAAACCTAACATTATTCCTAAAAACCAATGATGAACAAGTCACGCATATATTCTATGATAATCTACCACTCAAGACTTGAGTATAATAGATTAAGAATATGTTCTTTTCAGCTTAATTTCAATTCAGTTCAGTTTCGTTCATTTCAACTCATTTTAATAAATCAAATTAAGCCCTAATAGAGTAAACTGAGAAATTTGCTACCAAGAACTACAAATTGTGATATTATTGGATATATTTCTTATATATGTACGTATACATAAGTCACTTTTCTATTTTAAGCTGTATCAAAATAAAATGCCACATTCAAAGTGAGTTGATTCAGTTTAAACTGCTGATGTTTACTAAAATAATTTAAACGAACTATTAATCAAATTTAATTTATAAAATTCTTTCCATTGTCTTTTAATTTCAATTTATACATTAAAAATTACTAATTGCAAGTTTAATCTACTTATCCAATGGTTTTCTATGTCTCTTCTTATCACATAGCAGGTTTTGGTCCTGTTCTTTAAAACTGTTTTGCTTTGCTGAGCCCTTTTTTATTAATTCAATTTTCTCTCTGCTCTGCTCATCAGAACCTCAAAAGAATAGGGCCTTAACTACTATAATTTCCGTCACTCTATATCCCTCTACTATATCTTTTCAAAATCGACACATTTTTCACGTTGCAATTAAAAGAGAACAGTAAGTTGATTGTCGTACGGTCGGAGTTAAATCTATGGCAATAACATCGACACGTTGAGTTCAGGTGTGCGGTGACATCAGGCCCACAAACAGTCAAGAGTGGTTGCACGCAGTAAGAGAGGCAAGTGGACAAGTGAGGGTGGAGGTGCTGGTGATAGTGGCCTATATGCTTGTATTATAATATTAATAATAATACTAAGGACGTCTACTACCATAACAAGCCAAACATATTTTTAATAAAGTTTCCACTACTATGCTTAGCTTTGAGAGTTCTTGGAGGGGGTTGTTTTTGCTTTTTTTGATAGTAATATAGTATCAATTCCTTGCCTAACATTAGCTTGCAAAAGATTATGTTGTTGTCACAAATTTGGATAAATAACTAATCAAAGGTTATGTTGTTGTCACATATTTGGATAAATAATCATTGTGTATATTTACTTCCCAAAAAATAACATGGACTGCCTTATTGTTATTTGGATGATATACTATAAGAGGGGGTTTGAATTGTAGATAGTTTCTAGTGTCTAATTTTCGCGGAATATAAAATAGTTGTAAAGAATTTAGACAATACAAAGTTGATTTTACGAGGAAACCTTCCAGGTCCCAACTAGAAGTAAAATCTCAGCTCGACCCTAGCCAGGATTTTCAACACAAACACTTCACTATAATAAGGCAACACTCATAGTTACAACCTATAATACATAGACCTTTCTTAAAAGTTCCTACCTGATACCTGCTACACTCACAAGCTCCTACCGCTACCCTCACAAGTTCCTACCCGAAAACTTGCTACTCGATAGGACCTTATCCTACCCAACCTAAATCCCGAACTTAGATTCCACACAATACTCCTAGAGTGCCACTCACTCGGCTTCTCTCCAGAAGCTCACGCTTTGCAATCTCTCAATTGCAATAATGAGAATCCACACGAACTCTCACACCCTAATACATAAAGCAGTCAAAATCATTTTCCCATGACAAGATCTCAAAGAATAACTCTAAATACATATATAAATAAAGCGATAAAACTAACATGCTGGACACTCGAGATCTATCTGGAACTCATTGGACGAATTGAAACCAAACCCTGATTGTAACTTTGACTAGAAGGACTGACTTAACTTCGTGGTGAAGGATGAAACCATTAAACACGACTACTTCACTTCGTCAGCCTTACCTTTGAAAGAATACATGGAAGCATATTTATAATACACTCAAATGATTCAATTCTTCTCGAGAAAGATAGGTTTTATTAAAAGATAAGTTTAAAAGATATTTTTAAAAATAGGTTTTTTGAAATTATATCTTTTTGTTAAGAATAAAATCCGTCAATAATAATAAGGTATAATTAACATAAAATAAGATTTTATTCAAAACTTATCTTTTTGTCTAAAGTTCTTTCTAAACAAACTTGTTTTTTCTAAAAGGAATTTATTAGAAAACAAATATCATCATTCAGTAAAAGACGTACATATACATAAGTCCCTATTAGGTTTGGAACGCTGACAGTCTCTGAGTTTTAAGCGAGTCAGTAACTCTAATTTCATTGACTGTTTGGAGTTCCACTAGGTTTCATAGACTTGTTTCAGACCGACTTTTATGTCAAACATTCTTACATGAATCCTAGAGCAATATACTTCAATTTATCCGTCTTCATGCTACTTCTTTGAAACTGTTGTTCTAGAATCTCGTATTGATGTATTCTAGATCTAGGCAACGTTCCGCATTTGGAATCGCGGGACAAGTTCTTATCTGGAACTTGTTACCACTCTTCTCCATTCCTTACCAAAACTGGCAGACCAAGTTCATCTGAAACTTGTTGTCATCTTCGCAGTCCAAGCTGTACTCCTCGATCAGCTTGTTTTCATGCTTCTGTTAGGAAGCTCCTTATGTGTACTTGTTAGGGAAGACCTCATGATCAACATGTTAGGGAAGATGCTCAGGCGCTCGTGGGAAAGCCTGCCGAAGGTTTGATAGGTTTTCGTACAGCTGTCAAAGATAAATTCCTAACAAAATCAACTAACAATGTAGTAGGGTAATTAGGGTCGAATCCACAGGGAAATGGCTATTCAATCTAGCTTTCAAGGAATGGAAAAACTAATTTATGTCACAAAATTCAGATAGAAAAGTAGTCAAAATTAAAATAGGAATAAAATAATTAATAAAAAGACTTAGGGATATGGATCACCATATTTATAGCTCTAAATCTATCAAATATCAATAACAATTCAATCAATAAATTATCTAGAGCAATTGCTAAGCCTACGATCGGGTCTTAACGCTCTCAATTCAACATATGTAGTAGTTCAGCCGCTAACATAATCAGAATTGCTAATTGTATGTAAGTCTATAAAAGTAAGATCTTTCGATTCAAACTCTTATTAACAATAATTAATCAAACAATTGATCAGGTTGCAATATTAACATCAATTATTAGAGAAATCAATAATTAAAATATCAATAACATCAATCAAGATTCATAGTATAAACATGGATTCCCAAATCCTTTATATAGAAATAAACTACTCTAACATGAAATAAATAATTAAAACTAAATCTAATAAAGAAAACATAATTAAAGTAAAGAAATAAAATTACCTCTATAAATTAAAGTAAAAAACTCAAGAACAAAACCATGGAGGAATCCATGGAATTGCCATGAGAAACTAGGGCTAGCTAGAGAGAAAACTAAAAACAACGTAAAATAATAAAAGTTGTAAAAAGCATGAGGGAAAAATAATATCCCTTAAGTATTTATATTATCCTAAAACTAATTTAAAAATTAATAATTAAAATAAGATAAGAAAATAAAAATAACAAAGGTCGTCTAACGATTAGTCAATTGAAATTAAAGAGTTGTAGTCCACATATAGGACTCCTCATCAAATGCGCGCACACCCACCCATCGGGTGATGGGTGGCCGATGGTCGGACAGGCTGGACAAGGGTAGTTCGACCAGCGGGCGCTGGTTTTCCATCGCCCCAACCAGCAACTCACTCTCGAGCGTACAATACGACCATAGCCCGATGGCTGGGCGATGGATTGACAGCTTTAAAGGGTTAACTTTCAAATTCATATTTTTTGTGCATAATGTGCAAATAAAAATTTCTGTTTTCCCATAAACTTGAAAAAAAGTAGCCGGTCAAAAATAAATTATGCACATTTAGTATAATATTTTTGCACATTTAGTTCAAAATATATGCACATTTAACTCTTCCCATTCTTCTCATTTTAAGAAACTTCTCATCCCAACCCTATATATATATACACACACTAAAAGACACACCAACAATGACACGTGTCATCTCCTGGTGTGTCCTTAGTAGGTTTTTTTTTTTTTGAAAAAAATTCAATTATAGTATTAAAAACTTATACAAAAATAATTTTTACATAGGTTAGTAACAAAGATAATTTCTTTAAATAAAAAAAATTTGATAAACCCACACAAACATGTATGACTTTAATAGAAAATATGAACATATATAATTAACTTTAAGAAAGTATTCATATTTTTCCCCTAATAAAAATAGTGTGTATATTT